TAAGGTTGTTATTATATGTTATTTTCATTTTTCTTTAATATATTAAGTTTAGACTAATAATACTATTTGAAATCTATTTTAATGCTTTTTTTTAAATCTATAACTTAATTAAACTTAATTAAAATTAGGAAAACCTATTAGTTATAAACAAATAATAAATTTCAAATATTTTAAAACTCAAATTTTCTAAAATAGTTTAGGAAAACATTTTTAATTTAGACAGATAGAATGTTTTGTGAAAAAGAAGAGAAAGAGATTGATTGTTTGGTATATACCCTATGAAAAAAATCCCATACAGTTTTTGTGTAGCTTTTATGCCAAAAAAAACACCACAATTTTCGGATAGTGAAGGATGCCAAAACATGAATTAACCCTAATACTTGTATGCAGTGATGTATATTTTCGATGTCCCAAACATTTTGAGACTGTCCTACACTATATCCCAAAATGTCTTACATTAAATCCCAATATCCCAGGCCATGTCCCAAAAATGTCACATGATAACACTGCCTGTACAGTCAAATTTTTAGCACATTTTTCTTACAACATCTGAATTAGGAAAATCAACTGCACTAATTAATATAGTTTTTGTATGATTATTTCCTAGCTTAAATTTATTATCATAGATAGTATTTTTGTCTGCTCTGCAAGTTTACTTTTAACGCTAAGAAAGGTTTTAAAGCTCAGTTTGTTATTATTTGCAATTTTTGTAAAAAATTAATTAATTTAATTTACCTACTTTTAGTAATATTAAATTTTTCATACATTAATAAAATACTAAACTATATAAAATCTGTATGTTTTAATCTTTCAATACAATTTCAGCACAATTTTTATATATTCCAAATTTCAAATTTTTTTCAATATGATTTTTCTATGTTAAAATTCTGTACAATTATTTTTGTATGGAAAATTGAAATAACTATACAAAAACTGTATGATTTCACTATACATATAGTTCCTATAATTATTTTTAAAATTTTTAGCTAATTGCAACTTAAGTTGCAACACTTTGAGTTGCAACATTTTATGAATTTTTATATTAAAATAAATTTATAAGGGGTTGCAACCAAGTTGCAACTCAAGTTGCAACTTACTGAGTTGCAACTTCTTAATTATGGTACCCATCTTTAACCTGTACAAAATCCATACGAAACCTGTACAACTTTTTTTCATAGGGATATGGAGTCATTTATAGTTTGGTCAATTAAAACAAGAAGTTGAAGTTTGTCAATATTTATAACAGTATTATCTTATGATTTATTTGTATTTGAAGGGAAGTTATGAGTATTTTTGGGTTACTGCCTTGTTCATTAGAGGGGTTGAGAATAATAGTTTTGATATATTTTCTATATTTTTTGGGAAGTAGGAGGTGGAGAAATTTTTTTACATTTGTTAGGAGTTTCAGTATTAAAAGAGTTTAGATTTTTTGTTTGATAGGTTGAAGTTGTTTGAAGAGAAGTATTTTAAGCGTTTGAAGAATTTGTTCTGAAATTTATTAGTACTTTGCAAACTTTGTTTGAATTTTTTGTTTGTCTAGTATTGGTCATGTTGAAGTTAGGAAAGTGTTCTTATTTCATTTGAAGAATTGATCTAAAGTTTGGATAACTGAGATTTTCTATTTTCAAAGAAAGCATTGGGATATGGTATATTTCAAATGTCAAAAGATAGTAGAGCAAATAAGCTTATTTAAGTCATGTTTTGAAAGGATTAGAATAGAATAGAATTATCGTTAACAACACTTCGATTGCTCTGATTTTAGACTAGATGTATACTAAATAAGATAAAATATTTTAGTAGTCTCCTTAGTCTCCTCTTGAACATAGCTCTTCCGATTATATTATACATTAGATGCTCGTGTGATACTAAATATTTCCGATAAATATAGCAAAATAACGTAAATAAGTTAACATTGTTAGCGTCTGCTTCTCAAAAAAAAAAAAAATCAAATAAATATCATAAAATACAGAGGAAATAAATAACCATCCTAGTATGGCTAATGGTTTAACTCTGAGGGAAGGCGTCACGATCATAATGTAATCAATCAAGTCAAGTTAAATTTTTTAAGAGTTCTAAACATATTTAATCGGTAAATTTTCTTTACACGTAAACAATATAAACATTTGAAAATAGGTATTAAGGTTGTGGATAGAAATTAGTAGTAATTTAAAAATAGAACTAGTATTTGTTTTGTAAGAGCTTATTCATATGAAAAAAAAATTATCATTGCTATGAATTTTTCATCAAAATATCCAATAAGGAATAACTCAAATAACTCAAATTAGGTTCTGAGAATTTTGTTTAGCTAAAATTAAGTTATATTATATCATTAGGTTATTAAATACTGTATTAAGTATATAAAGATATATTCTGTTATACCTTGTCCTGAACCTTCTTTTAATAAGAAAGAGTTCTTATTGTAAAGGATCGGATTGTATTTTTTCACTTTGAATTTTGTTTTTTCGCATAATATTATAGAGAATGTTCCTCGGAATATCATGTGAAATTTGTTTTATTCTTTAAATAAAAACAATCATTATGCCGTGCTGTATGCTAAAAAAACAAATTTCTACTGTTTTACGATATAATTATTGTTTCTTCATAATCAAAAGATTTCAATTTTAGAAATCCTTAGAGATGCATTGATCACAGTTGTTCGTTATACATTGCGTATATTTAACATGTGTCATTCAGATAATCCTTGACATATTGGTTCTAGACATCTAGACATCGGAATAGAAATATCTGGAAAGTGATTAGAATTTCTGAAAAGGTAGGATTATGAAAAAGACTTCATTCATTGCATGATCTTGGTCTAAGGTTGTTTTTCTAAGAAAAATAACGATAGACTTATAAAGAAATTATTTAAGATGGAGATAAAACAATTTTCGCAGATTAAAAATCTGAATATTGACGTTTTTGAATAAATACATTAAGGAAACTGATATATTTGAGAAATATGAAATCGGTGTAGGAAATTTCTTAATAAGAGCATCAAGATGAAAGTCGAAACGGATTTTGATTTATTTCCTAAAAAAACAAAATGAAGGGAATGAACCTCATTATAAACCCATACTTTCTCATCCCGACATTAGAATAGAATTTCTTATTCATCTATATTGTAATTCTCAGTAATCAATTCAACTTTTATAAATATGGTTAAAATTTAATAAATCAACAAATTTGATTCCTCCCTTTATTGTAATGTCCTCAAATACTTTATGTCAGAATGATATATATATATATATATATATATTTGTTATATATTTGTTTGTTTTTTAAAAAAAAAAATAAAAGTTCGATTCGATTTAAAAAAGACGCTTCACGTAATATTGCGCCACTTGGTTGTACAGAATTCATTGAAATAAATATTGCAGATTTTTTTTTCCTTGCTCCTTAACGTTAAATGTTTCATTGGTTACTTAATTTGAAAATTATAAATTATAAAAATTGGAAACAAAAGTAATTGAAATGTTAATATTTTTATAAACATATATTTTCTCCTTTGAATAGGTCAGAATGAGGTTCTTTAAGAAGTACCAACTTCAAATTGATTAATTGTATGTGGATGATGAATTGATATAGAAATAATGTAAGTTGACAAAATGATCATTTATTTTTTCATCAAGACACTTTTTTTTACCATATAAAAATTAAATGAAATTTGCTCCAGAAACAAATTTTTATGAAGCAATTGGTATTAATCGAATGGATAAAAACTTACTATGATAAAAGTACATGAAAGAATGATGATAGTAAAAATATTTTATAATGAGTAAAGTAAACTTGTAGATTAGACAAAAATATTCAATAGTCATGAAGACGGAAAATTCATAACAATATTGAAAGATATCTTCTACATTTATTTTCAAAAAATTAGAAATTCATCTTTAACTACATTTTGGCAACCGATGCAAGTGTCCATATTATTACAAAGTAATGTGTATGTGATTATATAGGGTTTGTCATAGAATAATATTTTCAAAGGAATTTACATTCGATGTGTATAAAACAAAGTTTTGGTGCGAAAATCAATAATGAATTGTTATGCAGAAAAAAAACATCACAAGAAAATTTTCAGTGAAACAGATTTACGTGCTAAGGCGCAGAAGTCTTCCTATTTAGATCACTCAATATTACGTAAAAAGCACTGCAATATGGAAAAGGTTTGCTCAATCAATTGTTTTAGAACATCTTGATGAGAACCTTTTTTTTTTTTAAAAAAAAAAAGTGAAATTTTCATATTGTAAAATTGTAATTAGGAAAGTACATATTGACATTTGATAATGCACCAGAATCCCATATTAATGCAGGTGCAATTCAATATAACAAAATCAATCAATGTGTTATGCACGAAGTTCCCATTAAAAATAAATCATTTACTTATGCTGGAAACAAACCTTTATTAATATTATTTATCACTCACGTCAAATAACCCAAAATCAATGAAAACTAGCAAAATTAAATTGAAATCTAGGATCTGCCTCAAAGATATCAAAAAAAAAAAATCAAAAAATTAAAAATTAATTAATGCAAGAACATCATTGGCAGAATTACGCAGAAAATTTAACCTTTAGCTGAAAAAGTTTACAATCACAAATTTGTCCAACATTAAAACCAATAGAACCGCTAAAACAATGATCCGGAGAAAAAATCGCGAATTAATAAATAATAATTCGACGAAAATAGACGTGTTTAAAAACAATTAAAAATATGAAATACATAATTTTCCTAAACAAATGTTTAATAGTAATAAATAAATGACCAAAAATAAGAGAGATTATTGTGAAATAATTTTCATTGCGTAAGCAATTCGTAAATATTATTTATTAGCTTTTCCAATAAGAAATGTTTTTGACGATCATTACCCATTAAGTCAACGCAAATTATACACCATACCACCTGCCCTTGATAATCCATACTCTTCTTGAGCCCCAAAAAAAATTTCTATTTTTTTTTTTTTATTATTTTTTCTTTATTATCAAAAAAATTTTGCAAATATGGCTGACGCTCCCAACTTTTACGTTGCAAGGTTCTCCGTAAAACAATACAATCTAGGTATCAATTAAAAAGTCTGCAAATAAATTAAAAAAAAAAGGAAGAGAAATAAATAAATTAATTAATAATGCTAAATAACAAAATTTATTTCATTAGCTCGGAATTCATTTAATTCTAATAAGAAAAATGATGATTCCTTGCAAACTTCCGATGAACCTTACGATAATTCAGTACATGATGATGATACATTATCCGATTCGACCATCCAAGACGAATCGATGAATATGGAAATAGAAAATTCTTATCTCTCACAGTTAAAGGATGATAAAATCCATTCTTCAAGTGAGAATGTAAGCAAGAAAAAAAAATACATTATTTCTATGGTATCATGATTAATATATTTTTTAATTCGCAGGACAACGAATTAAAGGAGATAAAGGTAGAAATCGATAATGATAACAAAAATAACAAAGGTTATGAAAAAGACATCAATGATCCCACAGGCGAAGGCAATCGTGACAACAAATACGTGGGCTCCATGAAACAAAACGCAGCCAAACGAACACGAAGTTCTTCACTTAAGAAATCTCCAGTAATTATGCGTGATAAAAAGACCAATTCAAGGAAAATTTCCAATAAAAAAACTAGTAACGACGCTAACAAAAAAAAGAAAGGTGAAATCATTAAAGAAAAATTGAATTATGCTTCGCTCGAAGAAAGCGATGACGAAACCGAAAGCGATGATAGCGAATACTATGAGTCCACGACTAGAAATTGGAGCGCGAACGATAAACCCTACGAATGTAAATATCCGGGATGTAACAAAAAATACTCATATTTAAACAGCTTGTTAACACACAAGAGAATACATGAAAGCAACAATCCTTACGTGTGCTTAGAACCAGGTTGTGGAAAGAAGTTTGCACGGTCAGGTCATTTGACAACACATCAGAAAGTCCATACTAACGAGAAACCTTACGTGTGCAATGAATCGGGATGCGACAGGAGTTTTAAAGTTTATAACAGCTTATTTTATCATAAGAGATTGCATAGAGGTGAAAGCCCTTATATATGCGATATACAGGATTGTGGCAAAAAATACACTAGTCGTGGTAGCTTGTTAGCTCATAAGAGGAAACACTCCCAAAATTTGATTTAGTTAAAATGTTTATCATATTGTATATATACATGGAAATTATTATATTCATAAATAAATCATACAACTGAACGTTTGTAAACAAAAATTTTATTATTTTTTTTTTGCTTCTAGTTAATTTCAAAAAAAAAAAAAAAAAAAAAAAAAAGTGAAAATGCAAATCCTTCTGTCAACAAAAAAATTAATTAAATGGAATATTTAATGATGAGATTATTCCCAGCACTTTTTTCATTGTGATAATAAGCGTGCATTAATAATATTACATTTTTTTCGAAAGTATTCATAAAATCAGCAGTTTCTTTCTCTTGCCGTCGGCTCAAGTTTACATTTGAAGGTGCTCAAGGAACTTGGTAATACCCTTGATTATAAATATTTAAATATTTTCGTGTAAATTATTTTCAATATTTATATTTTACAACCGCATCACGTAATTTTTCATTTTCTTTAGGTGTCCTTCTATCTAGAACATCGGGCACGTCAGAAATGAGCGTGGAATGTGTTTATATTGTTCAATATGCGTATTACGAGTTGTTATTTGATTGGTTCAGTTGATATTAGAGCTTTGGTTGTGGGTTAGGGTTAGGGTAAGAATTATATTGAACTCACACCGAACTATAGACATTATGCTCTATACTGTAATTGCTTAGTGTTCAGTTTCCTATATTGTCTTCCCCTTATTAAGTCTTATTAGATTCATTTAAAGTATTTTCTAGAAACTTTATGATTTGTTCCACGTTAGCTACTGCACCTTTAAGATATCTAATTCTTCTATATTTCTAATTTGACTATGGAACCTTGTTATGTTTCTAAACTTTTAGAAGAGATTTAATTTGAAAAGAGCTCTCTGTGTCACGAAGACTTCTATATACCATTGATTTTAGATCAAAATATTCATTTTCTTGGTGGAATAAACAAATTAATTTATCTATTTAAGGATGTTATTATTAAATATATGGTTATGATCTGCAAGATGATTTTAATAAGTAGTTGACTATTAGTGATATTGTATTAATTGAATATAATTAATGTAAGTTAAACATTCTTATTGTTGATTATTAAAAACTGTAATCATGAAACTTCTTTCAAAGCTTCTCCTTTACCATTTTTTAGTTCCAGTTTCTTGTTAAATAAATCAAATATATCATATTTCAAAGTACTAAACATAACATAGATGCTTGCCTAAACTATTGTTTTATGACTTGCATTTAAAATAATATGTTCACAATAAATTTACCTTAGGTTTCCTTAATCAAGTTTCAGTTATGATTAAAGGTTCGGTTAAGTTTCTTCGTTAAAATATGTATCGTAAAAACTATAATGTAATTCTTTAACAAATTTATTTAAATTTATACTTATTCATCTTTATATCGGTTTAATTAGATATAAAAAAGTAATTGTTAAAAATATTTTAATGATACATGATTATTCTCATTAACTTTAAATTAAATATTCATCAAACATCAATGGAAAGTACAAACTTCGGTAAAAGTTGTAATATTTATGTTGATCTTAGTCATCGAACCCATCATATTTTGCGTGGAGATAGAACTGAGAGTTTAGCAGAATTCTAAATGTATCGCAAATGCATCATAAAAAAAGCTTACGATGAATATAAGACTGTCCCTAATGATTCTAGAAGCTTTTTAATATTAAAGCTGCCGCAAAAAGCTTTTCTTTAAATTCAAAGAATCGCGCACGAAAAAAGACTTTTAAACAATTATGGAGAGCAACTTTTTATTAATATAAATAAAAACAAAAATACACACTTTGAAAGTTGGAATTTACTTTTTATCTTAATCTTATAGGCGCAAATCTTTGATAATAAGATAGAAACAAACACTTAAAGTGGGGAGAAACATTTTCCTTAATACAACACTTTGGAAGCTAATTCTTCCTTAAAATTTTGACCTGAAGATTTTGATCTTGTTCTGATGTTTGACTGGACAATGCGAAATATGTAACATACATTTTTTGTCTACTAGGGGATAATTGAATTAATTTCTCCAAGACTTACATATTTGCTCGCTGAGAGATGGAGTATGTGACAATACACAAGCTTATACAATGCAAAAATTCTTTTCATTTACAAATTTAGCTAAAACTGCATACTAAAAATTTTGAATGTCTGCAAAATAATACACATCAAAACTGTAAATTTATAATTTAATATAACCATAAATGGTAAGACCAAAACCTAAGTAAAAATAATAACATCTTTCCTTTCTCATAACCAATAAATTTTTTTATAGTATTTTTTTTTTTAAAGACATTAATATGTAAAAATATTAAAAAATATATATGAATTTGTAACCTTAATTAAAGTTGTAAGAATGCAATTCGGATAAAAGTTAAAACATTATTTAATTGAGAATTTCATGATGATATTCTGATATTTTATCAAGTCACGAACTCGGTCTTGATTTATATACCGAATTCTACTCTGCTTTTGATTTTTACAGAATCGACTCGGCAGTCGACTTCAACTCCAACGGCTGGTATCTCAACTCTATGTTATTTTTCTCTTAGTTCACCAATTGATTTCCACTTGGTTTAACAATATATTAACAAATAATCGATTTTTATTACATTTAAAGGAAAGTAGTATATTTAAAGTTTATCAAGAGCGAGCAAGGTAATATATTAGATAATTATCAGTAAAGAAGATTGAAGAAGATGGTTATTGTCTTGTTTTTAAATTGCCAAAAAATAAAATATAGTAAATGGAATGAATTAAATACTGTAAACCATAAAATGTAGGAGCTATGTTCATTAAATTCTCTTTCTCACGCTTCGTGCTTTATCAAAGATTATAATATTTCTAATGTATCGAATATGCAACTTGTCACGTTATAGATTCAGTGAGGACTTGAAGTCAAGAACCAAGTAAAGGACATTCAACATTTGATGATAAAGTAATTCATACATTTAGGCAGGGAATATTTATTTGCACAATGGGAGTGCGAGTTATAGTAGCATGCCTTAATTTATGATAAACAACTCCACTAAACTTTTGGCATTAGACTTTCCAAAAATTAAATAAGAGATATTATTGTTATCAAAAAGCAGCGCAATACGGTTTACGTTTACACTTACAAAATGGATTGGAAAAGTGTGAAACATTTGAACATTATGAATAATTTGGTAATTTTTAATAGTCGAAACTAAAGCATAAGGAATTAGCTATTTAATATATGGAGCTTTAAATAATTGAAAAAAATAATGCCATGGAGATCACGCTGTAAATATTAATAATAGAACCAAATATTTGGAATAATACGAAGTCAACCATTCACCCTCCTAGAATTTCTACAATTTCAAAAATTGAGTTGAGAAATTGTAGAAATTACCTTGTTAGCCGAAAAAATGATATTAATAAAAAGTCTATGTATGACATTAAGAATTGATTGTTCCTAAAATTTACTAAGCCTAGTCTCTTGACATTCTAATCAACCTATGGATAATAATAAAATAATTGAAAAGCAATGATTTGTATGGTGTTGATGTGAAATGATAATATAATAAGAAGTTATGGTTCTATATATCATTCAAAATTTTAACATCTTGGGATCTGCTTAGTAATAAATAAATAGTCGTTGAAATATTCGGTTTGGTTATTCTATCGAAGTTTATGTTTTTCAAATGTCAGATTTGAGTATTTATTTTGTTAAAAGGTATTTCATAACATATACAATCAAATTGTAAACTTGAATTTTAATCTTCACAAGTATTACAAGTGAATACTCAACTCTCATCACATCAAATGAAAGAAATTATCTTATAAAAGCCCTAATACTAAAAAGGAAGCGTGGTTGTAGCAATAGAAAAAGTTTTGGTCAAGGACCCACTTGGGGCAGAGATTTACCATGATTTTTGATTCTTTTGATTCCCTCCACAAAGTAATTGCACCTTTTCCAGGCTTTAATGCAAAAAAAACAAATCTCAACCGATCAATTTATGTTATTGACATCATTATCATTACTGCTGGAAGGAATGTAGAAGAAATATCCAAAAAATATGAAATTCAGAATTATAATGGAGAAGTCAACTTGAATATCTCGTGCGTGATTTTGATAATGAATCTTAGATTGATATTTATATATTAACAATAAATATCAGTTCGTATTTGAGTAGTCTCAAAACGTATAGAAAATATTATTATTTATCCTTGTTAATATAAGAAGAAACTTTGTTAAATAACAAAAAGTCGTCAAATACATTTTTTTGCAATAATTATGTAAAATATCGAACAAATTTTGTTTGGCTACTTAACTTAGAATTGCTTATATGTGTCATTATTAATCGGAAATTAAGTAAAGTGATAGCAGTTTCAAAATAAATATAGTTCATACGACATGGAAATAAATCAAATTTAAAGCAATGCCCGTGTATGAGAAAAAAATCGGTAGTTACTATATCGATCGAAACATAAAGACAAACTGCTATACCTTCATCTACTTTCCATTCAAATGAAAAACCATTTTGAATATGGTTTATATTGTCTATGCGCGCGTTACAGACTGGGTACTAACCTTTAAATATTGTTAGCGTTACTTCCATTTAGTAACTTACTCTTGACGTTCGAAGTGATCATGTCCTAATGCTCAAGAATATAAGTGTTTGTCGGACAAGGAGCATGTTCTCAACTGAAATGATAAAATGGACCCATCCAGTTCATTTGTACTAACTGTATATATAAACGGCGATGTGAGGACTTCCCAAAACGTCAGCAATTTCAGAACCCAGAGGTGCATAAACTAGCAATATACAGCTAGAGAAGTCAACCATCACGTATCTCATATACCAAATCATTACAGCTGAACCATACATGTTGTCATCAAGTTTTGAATCTTTGTTTTGAATTCATTTGAGTGATTAAATTTCCTATTCTTTAAGGGACATTCTTTCATGCTTTATCTTGATGGTTTCGCATGAACTTTTAGGAATAAATATCGAGTATTTTGGAATAAACATTTTTTTGCAAAAATCTGTCATTTAAAAAAAATGGTAGGCAACGTGAAAGCAACACTATACTATCAATTATCTTAAGTTAACTTATAACCTTATTATTTTGACTATTTTTCACGATTTTCCTTTCATCAATTATCCGTAAATTAAATTATAATCTTAGTGCTATAGGAGAAAGATTTCAATTTTCAATGAAGACCTCCTTTGGCATCATTTTCATTGAAATATCATAAATCGAATATTATAATTTGGAACTAAAATATAATAAATCTAAATATTTATTCCAGTTAAAGGAAATATTGACTCTTGGGTTTGATGAATTAAAATAGCCTTGGAAGCAGGGAGTTTAATTGATCAGGTTACATTAAAAGTTGGAATTTGTCAAAGTTGTAATTCCCAAAATAATATAAAAATATGAATAACTTACAAAAAACTACCCTTCATCACATTTAAATACATTTTCGAAATCAAAATGAACCAGTATTTATACTCTAACTCTTCCTCATTTAATTTACTCTAGCTTCACTTCTTCGATAGTACTGTACTATATCTTTTTTTTGAAAATTGTTCAACAAGCAACCTTTTCAATATTGCGAAGCGTCTACTATTGATTGTTTATTGGTAGCTTAAGCTTTCGAAATCCAAATGGCAAATACTGCATTTACAGTAATATCAAGTTTTAAATTTGAAACAAATTTCTTTTATATTCAATATTATATCCCCCTTTACAAACTCATCAATAATACTGTAAGACACAGAATAGGAAGATAATCTACTTTATACATTATTGACTTAGGATTACAATAAGTACAGTGATATTACAAATAAATATTGGATCAATTATCTTATACAATAATATAAGTTGATTAATAATAATTTTAAATTTCTAACCTTCAAGTGGCAGTATTCTGTCCATAAGACGTTCTATCATTTGAACCGATTTTACTTGATAGAGAGTAAATTATCATTTCCGCATTCATTGAAATTATGAACACAAACTTCAAAACTTATCTTGCATTTTAATTTATTGAAATCTCTAAAATATAAATTCATTCAACTATTTCACAACTTCTTTATTTTTAGATGTCCAAAGTACATTACATCAGAAATCTAACTTCTTCTAGCAGGTTGAAATAACCAAAATTTAAAATTCATAATTCGTTGTTATAATTTCAATATAAAACAAAAAAAAAAAAAAAAATTCGTGCAGTACTCGCAGATTGAATATACCTTCCGCCTTTACTAAATGTTTCACTGTGAGCTCTTCATTTAATTTTGGGGAATTGTTAAAAAAATTTATATTAACAAAAATAAATTTGTTATTAAAAGCAATTTTACAATAATATTTGACATTCTATCATACCTTAAATCATTTTCCAAGCTTTATCAAAGAAATAGGATTAGATTAAAAAGTATTCTCGTATTCTTTAATTAATTAATTAAAAATGTCTGTTCTACGATGATTTAATACAGGAATTTCTGTTCTAATTCTTTTCAATCGATCAAGATCTATTTCAGCAAAAGCTAGTGATGGCTTATCTGTTTCAGGGCATCTGGCTAATATTGTACCCCATGGATCCACAATCTATTTAGAAAAGAATTTATATCATAAGAAAGAGTGATAAATTAATAGTTGAAAAGGAGATAAATGTATAAATAAAATTTACCATTGCGTGTCCATAACTAGCACGTTTTTCATTATGTTGTCCAATCTGAGCGCTAAAAAATTCATACAAAATAAATTAAAATGATCATAATAAATTTGGAAGTTAGCATATCAAATACCTTGCGATGACATAACTCTGATTTTCTATAGCTCTAGCACGCAATAACACTTCTATAAATGTACATTAATAAATATCATGATAATTAATCAATCGAGAAATTAAAATATTTGTTATGATTAACAAAGAAAAATGTTTATCTACCCCAATGAGCTTGTCCGGTCTTGATAGTAAAAGCTGATGGAAATGTCAAAATGTCTGCACTTCTCTTCCTCAATTCTAAAGATAATTCGGGGAATCTCAAATCATAACAGATCATTAATCCTAAATTCCCTAAAGGTGTATGTATAGGATCGCAAATTTGTTCTCCATGTATTGTTGTGCTACTCTCCAAGAGAATCGGTCCATCTTTAATATTCACATCAAATAAATGAAGTTTTCGATATGTTTCAATGATTGATCCTTGAGAATTTATTATTATATGAGAATTATAAATCCTTTGTGGATCATGACTCTGAAAAAAAAAAGAAAAAAATATTAGAATAAAAGTTCATTAAGGTTGAAAGTGTGAACAAGTATATAAATATCACGTTACACTACAGATTCATGAATTCCCATTGAAACCCAAATGTTTCGTTTAATAGCAGCATCTTTAATATCATTCACAAATGGATTTTTACTAATTGATGATGTCAATGATAAAGTTTCTTCGGAATCTTTTGCAATAAAATCTGAAGCTTCAGGGAAAAATATCATCTTTGCACATACATAATATTTTAATCGCAGTGTAATATAATTTCAGAGGAAAAAAAAATTAGTTTGAGGATATGCAAAAATATTTTTGAAACAAAGCACAAATTAAGTACCTTTGCTCCATTCTTCGATGCCTTCTCAAGTAATTCAATACAAATTTGACGATTTTTTGCAATCAAATTTGTTGCGCAAAATTGAGCTACTGCAGCAAGATACATTATGATGAGCAAATTTAAATTTTTTTATGTTTATATATAAAATGTATGCTGATCCAAATAGCTATAAATTAGAACATTGGATCCGAATGGCGCAGTATGTGTGATATAAATAATTTATTGCGGCTCTGAAAAAGATCATTATCTATCTTTGTTTAATAAATAAATTTTTATCATTTAATAAAATTTCTTAAGTTATTTTTTTAAATATAATATTAAATATATACTAGGAACAATGTGAATCATGGTTAAGTCCATAGCATCATCATTAGTTTACGTAATCCGTGTAATACAATATATTATAAAAATATACTGTACATATTAAATCAAATAACCTAAAATTAAAAAATTAAATAATATAATAACGAATTAATTTTTATTTAAAAATATTTTAAATTTTAGAAATTTAAACTAATTTTAATAAGTAACTTTAATTAAAAAATTGTTTATAAAGATAATATTTTAAAAAATATATCTTTAGATCTAATAAATATTTATCTGAATAAATTAGGACTTTTTCAACCCTAGTTGTAACAAAAGAATAAGATTTCACTTATAAACAATATTATTTTTTTTATTTAAAATAATCCAGAATAATATTGGTATTTAATATATTAAAATAAAAATAAAATTAACAAAAAAATTTAAAATCAAATCCGATTCCCATATAATAATTTCAATAATAATTTAATATAAATCACCATAAATACTCAAATCAACTCATCTTATCTAATAATTTTAGATCAAAAACCAATTAAATATTCAATTAAACATCTAAAAGAGAAATAACAAAAATAACAAACTATCTGAATCGTCTTACACACAAATGTGAATCAAAATACCAAAAAAATAATAAAAGAAATAAGTAAAATAACATTAAAAGCAACTTATAAGTATCTGTAAATTCTGTAAATAATAAAAAAAATTAAATAAAAATTGTGAGGAATGTGAAAAATGCTTTAATCAGATAATAAATAAAAAGTATAAACTTCAAAGACAAAGAACTGAAAGTATAATATCAATAAAACATAACGTAAAATTAAATAACCTAAGAGATATCAAAGAAATAATAAAGTAAAATCAAATAAAACAAAAAGAAATCTGTAATCAATCATAATTTACCAACAAATATCAGTAATTAATTTAAATTATTAGATATTAAGAAAATCAATATAATATTATTTAAAAACTTTAACTAATTTTGTATTTAAAATAATTTATATTTTAATATTTATATTAATATTTCAATATATAGTGATTCAAATTATTTAAATTTTGATATGTAATATTTAAGATTATATTTAAAATATATTAAAATTTAGTTTAATTACAATTGGTGAGTAGAAGAAATATAATATTAAAAATAGTACTTAAATAACTATGATTATCTTCAATAAAATAGTTTTCAAATTATATACTTCTAAAATTAAATTAAATATATAGCTAATTGATTTTAAATAGGTAGAAAATTGCAATTTAATTAGCTTTATAATCACAGATGTTAAACTTTCTAATGTTAATTTTCTTACTTTTTGAACTTAACTTATATTATCCTTATTAAACACCTTTTTCTTTCATTTTATCATAATTTTAAACTTTATAATAAATTAAAGTGTTAATTGTAATTAAAAAAGAATCAATCATTTAATAAAAAATAATATCATATTAATCAAATAATTTTACAATATAAGATTACTTCTAAAAAATGATTTAATCAGTTATTAGATGTTCAAAAAGAATTATCATTCTTGACTGTTTTTTTATCAATATTAATAATATTATTTAATTTCTTATCAATATTAATTTTTATCAAACAATACATCAATAATTATTTTTAAAATTCTCTCTTCTTCTACTATTTCTATATTTAACAGATAGGTCAATTAATTTTAACTAAAATAAATAAATAAAAATTAGTATAGCAATAGGATTCTGCAATTCAATTTGATATTTGAATATTTGATTTAAAAATTAAATCAAATACAATTCAAATTTATATTTGATTTAATTTGATTAAATTCAATACTAGAATGATTTATTTGATCAAATCTAAATTAATTTTTGATTTAATTTGATCAAATTCAAATCAAGTATTCAGATATTTGATTTGATTCAAATTAATAGTAAAGCTATCTTCAAACTTTAAAGATAAACTTTACTAAGAAGCATTAGCAAAAAATACCTTTATAGCTTTAGAAATGCTTTTTTTACTAAGAAAAAATAGTAATAAATACTTTTATAGCTTTAAAGATATTAATATACTAAAAAAATATAATAAAAAATGTTTCACAATTTCAAAATCGTTTTTTACTAATAAAACATAGTAAAAATACCTCTGCAAATTTAAAAATATTTTTTTACTAAGAAATTATATTAAAAAATATTTTCGTAATTTTGAAATAATTTACTAAGAAAATACAGTAAAAAATACTTTCGCAGTTTCAGTGATATTTTTTACTAATAAACTATAGTAATAAACACTTTTATAGCTTTAAAGACATTTTTTATTAAGAAACTATAGTAAAAAATATATCTGCAACTTTGAAGATATTTTTTATTAAAGGATTATAGTATCAATAATTTCAAAAAAAATTTTTACTAAACTTTCTTAATAAAACTAAAGCTACAGTTTTGTTTTATTAAGCTTTCTTAATAAAACTAGGACTGCAGAGTTGATTTACTAAAAAAATTTTAGTAAAATTTACCTGTTACCATACTTACTTTTCAAAAGTTAATTTTGAAATTTTTACTAATGACTTTCTTAAAATATATTTTAATATATTATTATATAAATTATATAAATTAATATATTCAATTTGCAAATATTTGATTTAATTTAATTTAATTTAAATTCAAATTGCTTTAATATTTGAATCAATTTGATTTTAAGGAACCTTAACAATAATATTATATATGCAATATGCAATCCCTTTTTAAAAAAATGAATGACATTTATTTTATATTTTCAAATGATAGAACTACTAAACTTTTAAAAATACATAATAAAATAATTAAATTCTTATGTTTACTAATACAATTCTTATTATTAAAATATGTTTTTCTTTAAATGATATTTCTTCTAAATTAATATATATCTAATTTCTTAACTAATGATTTGGAATTGTAATATTACTAAAACTAGACTTATAATACTTTTAAAGTCTTTTAAAAAGTAATAGTCAAATTATACTAATCATTTTTCTAGAATAATTACTATATATGAAATTAAAATTAATACATTTTGGATATCTAAAATAATCAAAATGATTGAAATTATTTCAATTATTTGAGGTTAAAATCACAAAATAGTTAAAATAATATCATATTATATGATTTTTTATATTAAAAAAACTTAAAATAAAAAATAAATACCTTGATCAATATCATTCAGTTTCTCATGAATAAATATTATTCAATTCCTTGTGACTAAATGAATCAAATAAGCTAAATTTCATTAATTTAAATTAGGCAATCTCAAAATAATTATTAGCTAAAATTATAAGTCAATAAATTTTACCTCATATAAAAGAATTCAGATTTTAGAATTCAATTTTAATTATCTTGAGACTGAATAATTAAAAATTAATGATATTTAATTTAATAAATTATTTAATCATGAGAAATTAGATAGTAGTTATTTTATAAGAAACAGAATAATATTAATTAAAATATTTATAAATTTTTATTATTTAATTTTTTTTCAATATAAAAAATCATATAATAAAATTTTATTTTAACTATTTCAATTTTCATTATAACTTTGACCTTCAAAGTTGAAGTATTTTAACTTTTAATTTTTATTTTAACTTTATATATAATAATAATTAAATATCACATACTAAAAAAAATAACAATTTTATAGAACTATTTGCAGATTCTAAATATTTAATAAAAATTATGAATATGATTATTGAGATTCAATTAAATATAAAAAACTTTTGATTCTACTATAAATTTATTTAAGGCTTATGTTTTTAATATTTTAAAATTAACTCTAAAATGTTTAAAAATCCAGAAGAATGTAATACTTATCTTCTCAATCTTTGTCTTAACAGAAAGAATAGTATCTTTATTAAGAATATTTTATCCAATTATTATGATATTAAGATTAGAAATAATTAGAGTAATATTATTTCTTATCTCTTTTAATATATTTACTTTAATCTCTAGTTATATGAAATTGATCAATTAAAAAAAATATTGTTATATGAAGATAACATATATGATCTGAATAATATATATGACTAGTGTTGCTGTCTGAAACTAAAATTCTGTAGTTTAGAATAATTAAAACCAATTAAAACTAGTTTAGTTAATAGCTAAAACTACTAAAACTAATTTTATTTAACTAAAACTAATCATTTGTAGTTTAAAATAACATTCTTATATATAACTAAGATGACTAATATATTATATATAATCATCTATAGTTTTGGTCTGAATAACTGAAACTCAAAATCTTAACAAAATACAAATCCGAATGTTAAAATCTAAATTTTAAAAAGTTTAAAATACTAAATATCTTATTAGCCTAAAAAAATAAAAAATTAAAAGTAATGATATACTGATGATTTTTTAATCCTAAAAGTACAAAATCACAATAGTTAAAAATCTTAAAACTTAAATTTAAAAAAAAAAAAATAAACCTAAAAATGTATTTTTATATGTAATGATAAACTGATCCTAAGGCTGACCTTCAACTAACCTTAAACTAATTCTTAAATAATCCTAAACTAACTTAAATTAACTCTAAGCTATCTTATACTTTCACAAATTATTTTTTATCTATTTCGCTATCTGTTTATAATTTAATTATCATACTTTTATTAATCATAAATTTATGGAATGTGATTTTTATCAATATATTATTTTGTGATTTTATAAAATTCTGAATATTATGATTTCAGAAAACTATATTTTTTGGTAAAATATGATCAATAGAATTTATCATTTCAGAAAAAATATTATATTCAGAAAATAGTAAATTTGAAAATTTGATATAT